TGGACAACTAAATATCAGCTGACTATAGGAAGATATAGCAAAGTCTCACATGCACGTATGTAATAAGCGAATGATTAAGTAAGTCTCAAAGATGGAGAAGTTAAAATCTGTGAGTAAAGCAGCAGAATGGTTAAATAGTGTGTCTGAATCTTTCTACAGAGAAAGAGGGTGAAGATCTGCCCAGTCAGGGGTCAGTTTTCCAAGGACAACAGACAGGAAGCTAGACAACGCAGAGATAGTACAGAATTGATTATTGAAAGGTTAGATGAATAAGAAATTAACAGAATGCCGGAACCAATAACTGCACGTCCCTGAGCAAGATCTGAAGAAGCGAACAACCGAACTGCAGAATTTACTGAATGCTGCTTTCTTTTTTTTTTTTTTTTTTTTTTTTTAAATTGGGCATTATAAAAAGATACTATTTTGGGTAGGGGTAGTCCTGAGGGAGGAGTATTAATCCTTTGTGGGAGTGAATGAGTGAAATGTGTTTGGGCTGTATTGGTGTAGCCTATGGGGAATTATTAGGTTCAGGTAATGAAAACTGAGCTGTCTGTGGTTTGTTAGTAGACAGTGACACGTCCTTCTGACCCCTCTCCTCTGCTCTTTTTATCCCTTCCTGGCTCCCTTTCCCCTAGCTCCCTCTTGTGCTTGCTTGCGTCTAGTTGAAATATTCCCTTTCCTTGTTCATTGTGTGTTCCTGCTTATGTATTGTTCTGTTACCAGTATCCAGACATGTCTCAAGACTGGTATAGAAGTACTTCAGTGGTAAATCATTTTTAGGAATCTTTCGTAGTTACATTGGAGACTCGTGGGCTCTGTTTGGGCTGGGAGTAGGGGGAAGGAGACAGCGTGTGATTTGTGCACAGTTAATGGTGCCACCCCATTCTCAGCTCAGTTTGTTTTTCAGACTTGCTGAGTCCCCTGAAGAAATGGAAGTCTCGCTACTTGATGGAGCAGAATGTTAAGAAGCTGCTGAGGCCGCTGTCTCCCATCACCCCTCCACCTCCCATCCCTTCAGTTCCCGGCTCAGTGAGCCCACAGCTGGCTACACCCTGCTCATCGCTGCCAGGAGAGGAGGAGAGTCGCAATGGTTATGGCATGATGTTCTCACCGATTCCTTCTCTGGCTGCTAGTCGCTGCAATACTCCACTACAGTTTGAGGTAAATCTGACTGGGGACTGGAAATGCTAAAGAGAGAAAAACTGGAATATTTGCAGCAGAGGTAGCACTAGGGACACCTTCCTTTTTGAGTATGCGGCTATATTCCTGAGCAGCATGATAGTGTCAGAATCAAGAGCACTGCTGCCTTTCTTTTTTACTCCGCTTCTGGCCAAATCTCCCACTCCATTAAATGTCAAACCTTGCTGCAGCTCAGCCTCCCCTCGCCTTGTAGCTATCGGTAACATTAGTGTAGTTCTGTTCTCCATTTCTGCACAGTAGCTCCCAAATTTTGCAGGCTTTTCAGTGTTCTTTAGTCATCTTCCCCATTTCAGATCCATGCCAATATGGCTTCTTTGGAAGCCTCTTCCAAAGAGTGCTGCAACAGTGTTCCACTTCTCAAAGGCTGGCTGACATCCTCGGCTCCTCTTTTCCCGGGGCGCTTTTCCCAAGTGTGGTGGAAATATTTTACATCAGCTTCCACTATATCCTTTGGTTTTTCTTTCCCTTGATTGGGTCGAAGGAAAATAGCTTCTATCTTTGATTTCTTGATAGTTTCCTTTTGCAAAAATCTGCAGAAGTACTGGGCAGGCTGTGTAGGTGGTTTCCCTTGCTCTAAACTGTGTGAGAGTTACCAGCATCCATCCAGATAGGACCTTCCACTTTGTGTTGCTGCTCTGTGCCTGTGAATAGGGATCATGCTGTTTGCAGTTTTAGTTTTATTTTCTAGTATTGCATGTTTTCATTTAAAAAATTGAAGTCTTCAGGCTGGCTGCTCACACTCTGCCAGTTAAAACCATTAAAAAATACAGTGTGTAGTGACAGACTGCTCTGTACTAGGGACTGTTTTGCAGGAATTCCTCATCTGTTTTGCAACAGGGCAGACAGTCCTTTGTGGTATTTTTAGCTTAGTGTGCTTTTGATTATTTTCTTTGAGAGCCCTTTCTTGTAAGCGGAGAGGCAGACCTGTAGAGCTTAGCAGGGAAGATTGTGCAGCATTGAGGAGAGATGAAAGACTGTTTCAGGCACAGAGCTTGTTGGAAACAATCCATACCTTTGCTCAGGTTGAGATGGTAGATCAAGGCAGTGTTGCCATGAACCTCCACGGTCTAGTCACTGGTTTCCTGTCCCACCTTAGTGTTAGTTATTTCTGTTGCCATGTGTAAGACATGGGAAGCCCGGATTTCACTGGGCATCCCATAGGCATCTTTGTTCAAACTTTTGTGTTTCCCTCAATGCAGCTTATTCATAACATCTCTATTTTAGTGTCATGTCTGTTTCATTTAGTTATCATCAATTCTAACTTGAGCGAATACATCTCATCATGTATAAAGCTTTATATCTCGGTCCTGTGGCACTGTAAGAAGAGAACAGAAAGATTTTTTGTTTACCAGTGTAAAGTCTATGAAAGTTCACTATGGTGTTTAAGAGATCTTAGTTGCCTTTTGTTTGGGCAAAATCTCCCGTGTCCTCGTACTAAATGCCATAAATAGCTTTCTCTCTATTTCATGGTGCAAACTCTGTATCTGACAGCATCAGAAATATAAAGAATAAGAGGTTTCTTTTCTTAACATTTATGTGCTCTGGTTTGGGTTCTAAGTTACAGCGTGAAGCTTAGTAACCCAGTCCTGTCTCCATGCTTCCAGGAACTTTAGAAACCACTTAACCGACGGAGTTGCTGTCCAGGCTGGGGCCAGCTCCTGGGATAGTCTTTGTTTAGAATAGCTGTTGCTAACCTCTGTGCTTGTTTTTTTTATTCATTTTTACTTTGCTTCTGGACTTTTAAAGTAGATGAATAACAAGATGCTTTTCCCTCCTCTAGAACGTATCCTCCCCTGAGAGTTCCCCTGCGCATAGGCCTGAGTCCATGTCACCCGAGGTAGTTATCACACCGTCTCAATTGCATTGGGAGGGGAGGGATGAGAAGTGCGGAGGCGGCTGGGAATAAGGGTGGAGCATCAGTCACAGTAAGGCTGAGGAGAGTTTTCAGGGTTATCACAAGAGAGCAAACAAATTGAAGACTGGAATTTGTTACTCACTTGTTGACACTGGTGGGAAATGGGCAGTGTGAAGACCTGGTGTGTCTCAGCTACTGAGGTGAAGGCAAAAGGTCTGGGGACCCTGGAAATACCATAATCAACTTCAGCCCCAGCCCAGCACATAAGTGGTGTGTGGTATTTACTCAGTAGCAGCAAAATGACTACTGGGGAAGAAAAGGGAAAGCATTCACTAGGAGTTTTGACTTACGAGGACACAGTGGGGCACCTGACCTGCTCTCTTCAGCCTTGATTTATCACCTGTTCACTTGCAGACTTAAAATGGTGAGGAGATGCCAAAAAGTAGTACTTTGTTTACCTGCTGGCCTGTTGTAAAATATGAATGGAGGTACCTTGCTCAGAGACTGGTTCATAGAAAATACGCACTCATCTCCAATGTGGCAGATTACTTGGAGCTGTAATACAGCAAACATTCTCAACAGCAGCAGAGCAGAGCTGATGCTGCTGTGTTTTCCCCCAAGCACTACAGTCCTGCAAAGAGGATGAAATCATGTCAGTTATGCTCATTGTCTGAGATACTGACATATTAACATGGTGAAGGAGTGATTATGGCGTTGCCCTGGAGGTTTTTTGGCACTTAACATAGATAAGTGGATATCCTATTGTGTCAGTGCCTAGTGCTCCAGAAACTGTGACAGCGCAAAGATGATGCTATTATGGTTTTGTTAGAGAATGTAAAATGTAGAAATGCAGTATAAATTAAATGAATGTACTATTGTTAGAGATTTCCGAAGCTCACAATAAGTGAAAACAAATGGCTTGGAGGTCCTGGGCATTTTATTGTTAGGAAGTTAGTAGTGGCTGACTTGTGACAGTCAAGAACTTGGCTAATAAAACAGCAAATGGGCAGCAGATCTTCTGTTCTCTCCCCATAATGAACCTAGCTAGTACTATGTGTTAACATCAACTTTGGGACATATGAGGCAATTGAAAGTGCTGGGTTTTCTTCATTGACTGCCCGGGGATAGTGCTGAGCCTTAGCCTCTTGCTGCAGTAAAACTGCAGAAGGGGAAAGGGCATCTCGTACTGGACAGCTAAAGTGATTATTATTTAGTCTCAGTCATTCCCCTGTAGAATGAGCAGAACAGTGCAGGAAAGGACTAAGGGGTGATCAGAAAGGAACTGGAAAGCAGTAAGCTAGCATTGTACAGAGGACTTTCTGACTAAGTTTCTCTCCCCACCCTTCCCTGCCCCTTCCTGACTTCCCATCCCCCTCCTATATCTCTCGGATTTTCCAGCTCTGTCTCCGATCCGACCTGGATTTGAAGGGTGGGTACCTGGATTCTGGTGCAAACACCTGCCCAGAACGACCATCGCTGCTCAGCTTTGGATCCTCTGATCTGACTCCACAACCCTCCATAAACTCTACTTCAGAGATGAACTTCCCAGGGAAAAGTGGGGAAGCACAGATGCTGCTACGAAGCTCTGATCAGGCTTTTCGGACAGAGTTTAATTTAATGTATGCCTTCTCCCCATTGAATGCTATGCCACGCGTAGATGGGTTGTTGCGGGGTTCTGCTCCTTTGGGAGAGAGGAAGCCAATGAATTCGGAAGCAGGATGCTGCAGCTCTCCTGCCGAAGGATATTTCAGCAGACACGAGTCAGGGCTGCTTAAAGAGACAGTGCATGGATCCATGTCTCCCTGCAGTGAGAAGGCTTGTGAAGGCATCAGATCTGCTCCGCAGAATCCGCCACAAAGGAAGAAGGCAAGTATTCTTGTACAAGAAACTCTAAGGTTGCAGGAACCTGAGCAGGAACAGTCAGCACTTTTGGAAAGACTTATGGGGAGAACAAAGAGCAGAATACGACTAAAATGTAGGCTGGGCAAGTAATCCAGGCATCCAGTGCCTGAATTAAAACAGTCTAAAAGTTGTTAAAAGAGAGCGAGCCACCCTTCAGGCAAGATTTTGATGCGAGAGGTGGAAGGATAAGACCACAGTGAAAATACCTCTTCTGGGAGCACAGAAAAGAGAGCATGATGCTCACAGCTTTCGTAAACGGTTGTTAACAAGTTGAGACAAGACCCAGAGCAGTAACACCGTGCAACTGTACTAGTTGGTGGACGTGTCATCTATCAGGATGAAAAGGGGCCTTGCTAGGAAAGAGGGTCTAGTGTTTCAAAAGAAAATGCAGGCTGTTTATTAGAAGGTTTTAGAACATTTCCGTTAATGTGGAAACATAGTAACATCGCAAGAAAAGCGTAGATGAAGGTTGTTACTTAAATTTTAGCTCTTTGAATAAAACCACAGGAATATTGTTTAAAGAAAGCAAATGCATATTGGTTTTTAATAGCAGGCCGGTGACCCTCATGGGACTAAAACTGAATGAAAATGACAAATGAGGTGTTGCTATGATAAAACCGGGTACTCCTGGGACAAATAAACATATGCTTGTGTAGATGTGTATCAGAGCCTTTTCCTGTACTTGGATTTTTTTTTTTTTTTTTTTTTTTTTTTTTTACTGCAAGTGTGGTAACTCAGATCACTTGTATAAGTGTCCAGCTGGATGGAATAGCTTATTTTCATTCTGTTTCTGGAGGGTTTTGATTTTTAACCTAGGTTTTCTTTTAAAGCTACACTTACCTTAAGACTCCCATGTGTTGCGTTACTTTTGGAAATATCCTGTTCAAAGCCTTCTATGCAGGCATTGAATCATAGTTAACGAATTCTTCAGCAAAGCTGCCTTCTGCAAGTACTTTATGGTGTCTGTGTTTCATAATAACTCTTAAGTGAAGGTAGAGTGAAAGGTGAGTGCTCAGCTGGAAATACTTGTGTATTTTTGGTTCTGCTGTCTCTGTGTTATGAGGCTGCATTATCTGGGACCTTTTGGTCTGTGTCTTTGACAATCTGTGACCGCTTTGCACAAAATACATTACACCTTTGCTAAAAGTAATTTATTGACCTGATAATGCTGGAAGGTTGCAATACTGGCTGCTCTAAGCAGGTTAAAATTCTGTGCAAGGCTTTACCAAGTTTTTAGCGTTCATGTGGCTGAACTAGTACAGGTGAACAGGACTCTCTGAAGATACCAGTTCTGTGAAGGAGGCTCTTACTCTCTGCTTTTGAGATGCACAGATACTGATACACATTTTATATAATGTCACAAATTGGAGAGAGGGAGTGAAGAGTGTTGAGAGGAGGATATAGAGGCTTGATGCCTGAATATGCAAGCATATACTGAAGTAATGTGAAATTCCAGATTGTTAGAGAAGCAAACTAGCTGTGTATTTCTGCTGAAGTATTGGTCATAAAGAGTAAAATGTGGGTGAGCACGGCAATTAGTGCGTAATCCAAATTTGTACCATTTAGCTCTTTTTCCAGAGTGCCTGCGGATTCAGGAAGACTTTATAATCCCAAAATCTTTTTAAAGTTTTATCTGCAAACCCAGAGAAATAGATGTTTAAAATCATGTGTGGGTGTGTTCCTCCCCCTATCCTAGTCCATTGCATTCCCTGACTCATGGCTGTATTTTTCTTTCCCAGGTATCTCTACTAGAATATCGCAAGCGGAAACAAGAAGCCAAGGAGGGAGGCGATTCAGTGCGATGTACAGGGACTCCTACCCGACAGGGCAGCAGCAGTTCTGTGACTGACACAGATGGCAACAGCCTGCTGGGCTCCGTAGTACGAACCCCGTCCTCCCCACAAAGTGGCTTCTCCCCTTCTCATCCCTCCCTGCCTCATGTAGAGGACATCAGCCCACCAGACTCGAGGGGGGCTAGTTCCTTAACATCACTCAGCAAATCCCAGGAGAACATCAGCAGTAGGTGGTGAGTGTTATCCTTCCAAGCAAGCCTGAGATTGCTCCACAGAGAAGGACCAAACTCTCTAGGGGGCATTTCCATAACAATAAGTGCAGTTGGATGGATTTTTTTGCATCTCTTGGCATTGTTCTCTTTGGTAATTGTTAAACAACCGTGAAGGATACCAGCATCCTTCTCAGCCTGCCCTTTAGCTCTTGGTTTAGATATCAAAAATCTGTCTTGAAAGATATGAAGTTAAACAGTTGTGTGTCTCTTCCTCCAGTTTCCTTTTAAGGTCTCAGGTTTGAAGGTCTTAGGCTTGCGATAAGAATTTAATCCAGTTTTTTTCTCACTGAACCTCCACTCTGTTTGGACGTGCGTGATACTAAGTCAACTCCTGTTCAGAAGGAAAGCTAGCAAAGCCCTCTGCAACTTCACATGTGAGAAGCATGGACAGTGAAACAACTCCAGCTTCCCTAATGCCTTGCACATACAGCTTGAAGAGCAGTTACCAGACTGCAGTCGGTGGCTTGCCAAAGGCATGGAAAAAACACCTTTATCATGTTACCGTGAGAAGGTTTGATAAGAGGAAAAGCTGGTCTTCAAAAAGTTTTGAACCCAATAGTAATGCCTGGTCCAAAAAAACTAAGTACTGCAGCACTGAAATGTGGAGTGTTGCATTATAGTGTCAATACAGTCATGGTTAGGTGTTCTGCTGATTGGAATTATGTAGTACACTGACTCTGCTGCTTTGTATTCAAGTTCTCTTCATGGACACCACAGTCAGAAAGGCATACCTTTCTTGATGCCAATTCTCCACACGCAGCTGTGTCACTGCTTGTGACAGGGGGATGGATGGCAAGTGAAGGGATGCTAAGCAGCACTGAAGGTAGTGAGAAGTATGAAGTCTGTGTTGAAAGTGCTTGAGAAAAATTATTTTGGGTGAATTTGCAGGAGTAATAAGATCTGTTTCCTTCCCTTTTCCAATTTTCCATTACTCTTAAAGTGGAGATTTATAGAAATAATTTGTCTTGTACCACTCTGACAGAGTACTCTGTCTACCAGGTGACCTGCCAGATGTTGGGACTGGCCACAGCTGAGGCCATCAGCTGGTGATTAGTATATAATCGTTATTTTATTATCAAATATTATTCTGTGCAAGAGTTGATATCCCATGCCCTTCTCCTCCTGTGCCACTTCCTTCTGCCTGCAAAAGGGTGAAAGAAAAATCTAGCTGAATGGAGAGGAAAAAAAACAAAAACAAAACAAAACAAAAAAAACCAACAAAAAAACCCCCACAATAGATCAGGGTGAGGTGTCAGTGTGGCAACCTTGCTCTAGTACGATGCTCTATATTCTGTGAGCTTCATCTGCTGCTCCTCAGCAGGTGCTCTGGATTCAGTTTCTCACACAGTTTCACGAGTAAGTATTGTGTGGGAATAAAAATCATATCCTTATGGGACGCTGGATATAAAGTTGAAACCATGCTGATGCGTTTTGAAATGGGATTAAGCAGATTTGCTGCCTTTTAAATTCTCATTCTTCTGTGTTTTAATGGGCAAGGCTAACAAATGTACAGTCCCCTTATACTTGTAAAAAATATATTAGAAACTGCATGTTACTGAGTTAAAGTTGTGACCCAATTTCATCTTTAACTCTGAGTGCTTACATTTCAGATACATTTCCAGACATTCACAATAATATAATATTAGGGACAGAAGAAAATGGTGGGAACTAAAATTACGTGCCTTAATTTTTAGAGTTGTCCAGATTTTTGCTGAATTCTACAATATTTGCCAATAGCTTTCATTTAAAAAAAATTAAGTTTCTGTCTCTTTCAGTTGCCAAGATACAGCCATCACAATGTAAACAGATGTGCTGCTGCCCAGTAAACCCAGCCTTGCAGAAAACTGTCTCCAGCAAAACAATAGCAGCAACGAAGGTGTGAATTCACCCCCTCACCCCATTCACCTCCATGAGGTGTGAACTCTGGCCCCTTCTCCCTTCTGCTTCAGTGAGGGGTGAACTTCAATGTCTGGGCTATTTATTTAAAAAAAAAAAAAAAAAAAAAGAAAAAAAAAAAAGAAAAAAGCTAATGTAGAGCAGTTTTTAATATATCTTTAGAAAAGGAAAAAACTAAATACAGAAATCTGTTAATATGGTGTTAAGCTGCCTACTCACATGGTATGCAGTGCATTTAATATACTAAATATTTAAATTCAAGCATTTTTAAGGCGCGTGTTCTTCAGTGTCTAGGGTAAAGGCATTGTAAATCCCTGATCAAGGTGCTACTATTTTATAGGTTAAATCACATATTTCTAAAGAGATTTGGGTGGTCCTGTGCATGGTAGATTGAATATTGACCCAAGGGTCTGGGGTTTGTCTGTGGCTCTGTGTTTCTTCTACAGATTGTCTTTAGGAAAGCCACTTCACCTCTGTTTTTTCACCCTCAGACTAGACACTTGTAATATAAAATGGAATAAGATCTAGCTCTAATCTTCAGCAAAGAGTTTTCACATTACAGAAAAAATGGGCAAAGTAGCATTAATGGGCAAAATTGCCAACCTAGCTCTGCTCCAGGAACGTTGCATTATCTGACTGTACTATCTTGACACTGTGTTATCATAAAGGTATTGGGTTTCCTTCTTTTTATTCTGGATAAAAGTAATCCATGCAAAATAACTGCATCTAATTTTAAAACAATATCAGGATTTTCAAAATGCTGTTGAATTTCGAAACAATTTTTCTGGGAGAACGTGTCCTGTAATCAGGTGATCTACTGAACTGGATATTTATACCATGTTTTTGATAAGAGTAAAGATTTTGTATTTCTGAGGGCAGTGCTATCATTGGTAGCCGATGACTGGCAGTCTAAAATCCCACAAGAGGCTATTTACATTGCAAAAGCAGTTCAGAAATTTATTCCTCATCTGTCTAGAGAGCTTGGTGGTCTCTGATCTCTCCCTTCTATGGTAGGGGATTGCATTTACACTAACATCATGCCAGTGAATTTAAGCAGAAACTTAAACCTGTCCTGTGATTATACCAAGGACCCCACAGCCCCCTTGTGTGTTGGTCACGTTGCTCTCGGCTGCGTAATAACAATCCTCAGCTGTTTACCGGGTTTTTGTTGCAGGATGGTCCCAACGTCAGTGGAGAGGCTTCGAGAGGGCCGAGGCATACTTGAGAAGGTGCTGCGAAGTGGTGCAAAGGTATCCCAGAGAAACGAATCCTCACCTACCTGTGACAGTGCTGTTGAGAGAGATGCAGGTAGGAACATGAAGCTTTTGAACGCTTGAGTTGGTGGGAAATGATGTGCTCAGATAAGTTTGCAAACTTATCTGTGAAGTTAGTTGTACCTTCATCTTTAACGTTATCAATGCTTTATGAGAGCCTTCTGCAAACCATACTTTATTGCTAATCAGGTATTGCCTGAGCCTATATCCCTCTTCTGTTAAACCTGGAAGACCTCCAAATTTCTCCAGGGTTTGGATTCAAGACTACATGCATCTTGGCTCTGGCAGGGACAGCTTCTTTCTCCTTGGGCAGCTGGGTTAAGCAGCATTGCCTCAATTGCCCCTATGTACCGGGAATGGAAGTGCTATTATTTAATAATTCTGGTTGGCTGAACATCCAGATAAATGTATTATCACACTAAAATGCAGGTGTAGGCTTTAGGCAGTGCTAAGAACTAAAATAGCTTCCAAGCCTTACTTCAGCTCTTTTTGAAGTTACTTGATTCCCTGAGTTGATGATATTTGTCAGTTTTGTGAAATGCACCTCCTTACTGAGATGAATTCAGTTCTGTGTTGATGTTCCTTTCTTCTCTGAATAAGGTGTTGTCCTCGCCAAGTAGCATGCAGGGGCAGTAAGTATTTGTAACTTGAGCTGAAATTATACCCCTCTTCTTATCCATCTGTGGTCTAAAGGAGAGATGTGACTTTCTGTGAGATGGCCAGATTGCTTCATCATTGCCATGATTTCTCAGCTGTGAAATGGAGTTATTTTTCTTTTATTTATTGTGCAGTCTCTGTTGAACGCGATTGTTTTTCTCTAACAAGGTGTATTTGGGAGCACTTTTTGAAAACTGGCCTCTGATCTGGGGTTTTGCTATCTTTGTACACCTAAGCACATCTCTGCTCCATGCCTTTTCTTCATGTAGTCATGAGAGGGAATCCTCTACCGTATCACAAATTTCTCTGGTTTCATGGACTGTGCTGGGAGCCTGTGTCTTGTCTTTCTCATACCAGTGGAGGTGGCTTTCTTGGTGGTTATTTTTTAGAAGGGGAGGCAAAGTCCAGACTCACAACAGGCCTTTTGCCTACCGTAATCTGTATGGCTCTGGCTCTTCAGTCTCACCCAAGGCTTAGGCTGGAGTTAGACTTTCAGCTACATCGATCCATTCTTATTCCTTGCTACGTAAAACCCATCCCGCTAAAGGTTGTGAAAACTTAATGCTCTAGCTGACAGAAGTCTTTGTCTCTTTCATCCTAGCACAGCAAAATTTTTTTGTTTTGCATATTCTGGCAATTTCTTCAGTAGCTTGTTTAGATTCTGTGAGCCACCTTCCCTCCCCCAGTTGCTGGTCTGCTGCTTAATGAAACAAATGAGTGGCTGAGTCCCTGCCATTCCCTGGTATCAACTGTAGGAGTTGTGAAGATACACGTTTACTTGATGGTGTAACAGATAATAAAATGAGGGGAACTAAAAACCCCAAACTTGGATGGCTTGCTGATGGAGCACATAGAAATGAAATGGAATTTGTGTGCGTGCCACACTTTAGAGAACTGCAGCTGCTCTCAGTTAAAGCTGTCACTTCATATATGCTTTAGGTTGACATAGGCCAGTTCTGCCCAGAAAAGCAGTGCTGCTTTATGTCCTTCCTTGGGCAGGTATTAAGAAATGGGGGAGGGAAATGTTGGTTTTGTCTTAAGTTTACATAAAGCAAATTCAGAAAGGTTATAGTTTATTCACCCTTTGTAATTTAGAGTCTTTCGTAGTCTTTGGCTTGTCAAGGTTTTTTTCTGTGAACAGGCACTGCCAGTAAACTGTGCAGCCCTGCTGGTGTGCCTGAATTGTTTAAGAAACAATTTCTTCCAGAAATATTTAGATTTCTTCTGATTCTCATGCTCCTGTTAATCACGACAATCTCCTGGATTGAACAGTTAGTCTTAGTCTCTTCTGTTCATGACTGCTTAACAAAGCACGCCCCAAACTTCAGTGCAGCGCAGTACTCGGAATGTCACCTACAGCAAACAGCTACCTGATGCATCAGATGTAGTTTCAGAAAATGGAAGGCGGCACAGGACATGTGCTGGAAGTGTCACACCCCGGTCTCTGTGCAGGTCCTGTGCCCTGAGGAGGAAGGCTTCTGAACCTCAACAACCAGACAAGACAACTCCATCCAGATTCCTGTGTAGCTAAGCCAGCACCTGTGATGTAGCACAGAGAGGACAACTGCAGCAAAGCCATGGGCACTGCTGATACTGATGCTCGTGCCAGTGCATCTGGTGCAAAGCCAGACCTGTCTGGCAGAAGTACAAAGCAGGCTATGGCAGTGTGTCCTGTTTCATGACTGAGACACATCTGTCATAAATTTGATACTAATACCAACACTATTTCACCAAGGCATTTCAAACACGGCTGCTGAGAATCCCCGAGATGCTGCAGATAAACAGCTTTGTCTCATTAGACTGCAACATAACTCTGAGGTGAAATCTTCTAGTCCCACCAGTTTCTCTCCCTCCTAAAGAAAGCACGATTGCCATCTGTAACCCTGTGGTTATAGTAGTGGCAACTGAAAAACACGTGGCAAAGCAGATGGGTCACTTGCAGTAAGTACTTCTTGCCTACCCCAGTTCAGGTTAGTTCAGGTTCAGTCATCTGGTAGAACAAGAAGCTCACCCACCCCGTAAGATATGGGTGCCAGAAAGGCTAGCACTGCCAAGAAGCAGCTTTTATTCCTCTTGATCTCTCACATAACTAAGGTGGATCAGTGTGTACGGTGCTGCTGTTACACCACAAACCTCAAAGCATTTTCATCATCTGGCCCTGTATCTGAAATTGGCATTTCTGAGGTCTAAGAGTAACTCCATTGGAGCAGCTCAGTTGATTTGTAAAGCAGAATCCCCAGAACAGCAGAAGGGGTGCTGTCAGCCTTGGCAGCACAGGGCCTCAGTCTTCGGCAGCGTCTGGATCTGCCTTTGAGGAAAACTTGCAGCAGGATCCTGCTGACAGCCATCTAAGGAGAGACAGTTCTGTCTCCCCAGCTGTAAGTGTAGCCAACATGGATTCCTATGACCAAGTCTGAGTGGAGAATTGCTGAGACCTTAGAAACGGTCTTCTGCCTCTCATATCCTTCTGGAAAGCCAAGGGACCGCAAGCTGTCTGTGTGATGTTGCTGGGTGCAGCTGTTCAGGTAGGCTGGTCCAAGGCAAGTGAGCTTTTGTGCTAAACCAGAGCGAGCTGGGGTAAGGGAAGCAGCAGTTCTTAACATGCATGGCTGATTTATGCATGTTAAGGTTTTCCAGTTGCCTCTTGCTAGGGTTCTTCAGCTTCTGAAACAGTAACGGCTGGAGAAGCCGCCCATGTCTCAGCCGTAGCTGGATGCAGAACAAGATGGCTGGGGTGTGTGCAGGTGTCACTGGAGAGGGAACTGCTGTGGCCTCAGTTCAGAGGGTGAGGTTTAACGTCTTGCCTGTACATTGCAGACACAGCAGAAGGAGACACTCCAGAAGCCCACAAAGGACCAGCAGTTTACAGTCCTTCTCGATACAGCTACCAGGTAAATTCTTTCATCTGTTATCTGCCCATTCTGAAATACAGCTTTTAACACTATTGGGGGGAAACTGGGTTTGGCTGCCAGTTATTCCCAATCCTGCTACGCTTGACCACCTTTGGCATAACAAGAAGGTAGGAAACGGGGAAGTCGCCGTGATGTGCCTTTTCTTTTTTTTTTTTTTTTGTTTTGTTTGTTTGTTTGTTTTTTCCCACCAACTTGTTCAGCTCCTGCAGTCTGACAGTCCCCAGGCAGAATCACAGACCCTTCTCCAGCAGAGTTCCTCCCCCTACAGAGGACACCTTACTCCATCTCCTGGGTACAGCTATCGAGCAGCAGCACAGAGGACAGGACACAGCCTCTCTCATGGGTCCTCGGAAACATCCCTTTCCTCCACCTCCTACTCCAGCCCTGCCCACTCGGTCTCCACAGACTCCTCAGCCCTGTTTGCAGGGAATTCGGGGTATTACAGCAGCCAGCAGCACTCTGGCAGTGTCAGCAGCAGCCTCCTGAAGAAGGGCTGCCCTGCTGCTGCCAGCCCAGCACAGCAGACGGCTGTGGACTCTCTTTCCTCCGAGTCGGGCTCCCAGCCCTGCACAGGCGCGTCGGGCTCCACCTCAGCTCCCCAAAGTGCTAGGTCACTACAGTCAGACTTGCGGACTATCAGTCTGCCGAATGCTGGGCAGTCTGTTCTCTACCAGGGCTCCCGGGGGGCAGTGATTTCCAATGCACAACACTATCCGCACCGCGGGGGCAGCAGTGTCCACCAGTACAGACTTCAGCAGCTTCAAGGTTCTGGAGTAAAGACTCAAACAGGACTTTCCTAGGGCTGCCTGGATTCCAGGAGGACAAAACTGCCCATAGCTCCTTCCAGTCACCTCTGGAAGTGGCTCCTGGGCCAGTGTTGGGAGCTTGCACCTGATGCTGGGGTGCCAGGGGTCAGAGGCTGAGGTCTGAAATGCACGGGTGAGGTTTGTGAGCAGTATTGGCCTCTGGCCTTGTAGGAGAACACAGATTTCTCTGAGGCAGAGACTGTAGCAAAGCTGTTCCCTGACGTGTGGGTACATTGCAAAAAAAAAAAGAAAAAAAAAAAAAGAAAAAAAAAAGGAAAAAAAACAGGAAAAAAAAAAAGCAAATGGTTCAAGTGCAATGACTGTGGTGCAGCCTCTGTCTCTTGTCCGTGCCCATGGCCATAGTCACTCATGCAGTGCGGACATCTTTTTGAATACGAAAGCAGTTTAAAGAAAACATTGGGGGAAGTTGAACTCCAATCCCAAAGCTCTCTTTATAGGTCAGGTTCTCAGTGCGTTCTGGGGAGAGCTTTAATCCGTTATGATCATTCCAGTCACAGCAGACGAGCGCAAATGGCTGCCTTTGGGCCTGGGTCATAACTGCCGCAGTCGGAGCTTTTTCCAGGATAACAGAGTCTCCGCAAATGTGAACTAGCACGGGGAGGGGTTGGAGTGTGTGTGCCTGTTGCTGCAAAGGATCTGGGATGCACTGTCACGTGCTGCTCTGACGGGGCGCGATCGCCGCGCCCGTCGCAGGTCTGTGAAGGGGAGCATTGCTGGGGCGGTGCTGCCGCCGTGCCGGGGGGGGTGTCTCTGGCTGCCGGTGTGCAGACACGCTGAGGGGTGACCGGGGGCCCGATAAGCGAAGCGATGCTGCGGCGTGCAGGGGGCTGCAGAGAGGCGGGGGTCAGGGGCTTGGGGGGGACCCCGCTCTGTGCCGAGCCAGACCCTCTCCATGTGGCGCTGCGAGGGATCTCTCCCAGCCGCCGTCGCCCGCTGAGCGTGGCAGCAGAGCCAGCCCAGACACAGTGCGCTGTCTGTTCAATTCCATACGATTGCCAGCTTCTTTCTCACTTGTTTACTGTAATATCGGGCGTGTTTTTATTTATCTAATTTTATATTCAGTTATAACCATAGTAGGTTAGCTAATATACGACAGGTGTCATCCCTGGTGCTGCAGTGGAACTTCTCCTTTCTCTTGGATAACATAATGCTGTGAGTCTGTCTCCCCTGTCTTTTCAGATGCACAGTCTTCTTCCTTTTTTTTAGGACTGTTACAGGTTTCTCTAATTCACAATTGAAATCAGGTGTTTGTTCAACCTAGGGGAGACTTTTAAAATATTGAAAACAAAGAGTAACTTTCTCACACTGTCTGGCTGTGAGCGTGTTGGGATGGAACTTGTCACCCCGCAGTTGGGTGTCTGTATACTGTATAAAATAGGTGTAAACTTCACTCGGCTTAGCCCTGGGGGTGCAGCCTCCCCTTTCGTGCTCTGAACAGCACGGGGCAGGCGGGCTCTGCCCTGCCGGGCGGCAGGAGGGGGCCAGGGGGGCCCTGCCCAGAGGCTCAGGCACCTTTGGGCACAGCAGGGGGGCAGGAGGGAGGGACCCTGGAAAGCTCTTGGAAAGGTGGGGGCTGTAGCTTCTTACTCTAGTGGAGTTTTTACACCATGCTGTAACATTTGAACTTTCACAAGAGATGTAATAATTTTGATAATAAAAATACTTAACTTGAAAACCAGTATTTTTGAAAGTCCCTTTCTGTTCCCTTACCATCTTCAGTGCTGGTGCCCAGGTCATGGGGCAGCGGGGGGGGCGTGTTGGTCTCTCTTCCCTCTCCCTGCAGGGTAAATGAAGCCTTGCAGGAGCAGCCCTGCAGATCCTCCCTTTTGCCAGCATTTCAGGTGAAGCCAGGGGCTGCTCCAGGAGCTGCAGTTCCCAAGGAAAGGGAAATGCCCTGAGCTTCCTGCACGGGGTTGTGAGGTTGTGGCTGTGCTGCTGCTCCTCTCAAGCTCATTTAAGGAGGAGAGAGGGTGGAGGATGTCCCCTGTGCTGCTACACCTGCTTCAAAACCTGTTTTCTGGTGTGCTGATCCCTGGGGCTTTTAGTTTTGATACTGCTTGCCTTTTCCTTGGAAAGCCTGAGGGGGGCTGAGCCTGGAGTGGGGCCAGGAGTACTGATCCTGAAAGCTGGCGCACACCCAAGGTGCCCAACGCCTCCAGTGTTCCACCACCCTCACCGTGAAAATGTCCCCCCGACACCTCATGGGACTGTGGCTGTTGTGGCCTGTCCTGAGCCTGTGCGTCCATAAGAAGGGCCTGGCTCCATCTCTACGCCTTTCCCGAGGCAGCTGTGAGCAGTGACAAACTCCCCTCCTCAGGCCGTGAGTGTGTCCCATACCGGGGAGGCCAGAGCTGGCCAAAGCTCTCCAGATGTCCGAGAGGTCCCCAGGCTGCCCTCGCTCCCGCACAGCCCGGAAGGCGCCGTTCCCGCTCGTCTACCAGACCCTGCTGTTGGGCTCACTGAGAGGCCATGTGAGTTCTTGTTCTTTTTTTTTTTTTTTTTTTTTTTTTTTTTCTCCCCATTGAGATGCAGGAATTTGCTGAATTTCCAGAGGTTCCTGCTGGCCCATGTCAGCCCAGGAGCCAACAGGCCGCCCATGATGCTTCCACAGCCCTGGGGAGACCAGTGGACGGGCAGAAGGGCAGGGCTGAGACACCACTAGGGACAGATGGGACCCTCACCCCCCTCTGTCCCAGCCTGCAGCATGGCCAGACCCTTCCCTGGGGACTTGCCCTGGCCAGTGCCCCCAACACGTGCCAGCCTGCAGAGACGTGGGCTCAGCCCCACGGGGCACAGGACGAGCTCCCTGCCCTCCCCCACCATGGCTCCGACACCCACCCGGTGCAGCCGTGCTGTGGCTGGCACCCACGCAGGGTCCTTTGACAGCCTTCATGCACATCATCGGGGGGGCCCCATCCCCCCCACACCACAGGGCTCCAAGCTCATCTGGTTTGAATTATATTTTTCAATAAGGTTTTGTGAAACACTGTATCAAACTTTGTACTAAAATACAGATATATTACAGCTACTGTATTCCTTTCTCCACTGATTTTCTTCATTTGTTTTTCCAATTCAGCCAGCAACAGCACTCACAAGCTGGCAAGACCTGGGTGCTGCCGGGCACCGGGGGCTCCTGCTGGCCCTGCTCCAGGGACGTGGCACTGCTGGAGGAGGGACGTGGGTGCCACCGGGCTTGTGGCTGGCAGAGGCTGTTGGCAGAAGGAGCACCAGCACCCACACCGTCCCGGGTGACTTTGGCTCCCAGCCGGTGTTTCGGCACGGCTCCGTCACTCACCGCTGCCCCACGGGGTCTCAGGGCACGACTTACCAGCTCCCGCCAGCCCCAGGCACCCCAGCTCGCCGGGCTGGGCGATGGTTCCTGCAGAGCCCTTCATTGCCGTCTCCCCGCAGCCTCCACACGCCGTGGCCCTGCCTCGTTGGCAGCAGCTCCTCTGCCCAGTTCTGCCCATCTCAGGGCCGCAGCCCCGCTCCACTCCCTGTGCCCGGCTCAGCCCCACTCCCAGGCCCTGCCCAGCACCTGGGTCCAGCCCTGCCAGGGCCCCCGCCAGCCCCTGGCCTGCCGCTCCCCGGGGAGCTGGGGGCCCTGCAAACAGCCCCCGGCTACTCGCACTGAGACACGGCCAGTGCTGAGGACTTTATTGCATTGCAAGGGCTGCGGTGACCCGAGCCCCCCACGGCCAGGACCCGGGGAGCCCACAAGCGCCGGTCTGGCCAGCAGAGCCGCAGCTGGGCCGCGGCCG